TGTGCTAACAAATTGAAATGAGGTGGTTGTTTTCAACAAGGTGGAAACAGTTCTGTTCATAACAGTAGACCTGCTGGTGAAGAAGTGACGGGTAAGAAAAAAAAAGGGAGAGACAGAGATATTAGGGAAAATGAAGAAAAGGGAAAGAGAAGTGAATTGGTGCAGTTCAAGAGAGAACCTTTCATTATTTCCCACGGCCCCAGACTAAGGATTTAGACCTTTTTATGTGCCATACAAACTGCTGTGTGTGTGCACTTTGGATGGGATAAATGCAGAGCACTAATTACAAGTATGGGTCACCATACTTGGCCACATGTCACGTCACTTTCAAAAGGACATATTTGTTCCTTTTTTACCCCTAATAGGTAGGCCTACATATTAGTACCTTAAGGGTATGACTTACTACTCTAAAGTACTAATATGTACCTATTAGGGTACATATACAAAGATGTCCTTTTAAGACTACTGCTAGTGACAAGCTGTTCTACCCCAAAATTTACAATTTTCTTTTTTTCTGTGTGGCCTGGATGAGTGTGAGATTTCCCGGTCTGAAATTGCGTCCCAGTCCGGCCCTGGCATAACGGCATATTTGTTTCCAGGCAGAACGTTAAAGAACGCGACACACGTCTCCCGGAAATCCTGTATAATTCAACCAATCCGATAACGACTTCGAAACTCCTGAAGTGATTCCAATTTTGTGTGCCTTATGCATCAGACATTCACCCAACGGTCCATGCCTTTTGGTAACTTAATGACTTAACTGACGACATAACTATGACACTGCATGCTCGTAGTTTCTTTTGCGCTTTAATATGAAATGATACAGGCTACAGCGTGCGCCGACGCATTTGTGCGTGCAATTGAAGAGCACGTGCTACGAGCACAGTATAACGGCTGACAGGATGGAAAAATCACTTTTACTGACATATGGCCTGAAGACATCTCATCTCACCGCAGTTCACTGTTGTTCCATTGAAGCTCCTTGTCACCACTCGTTTGACTAGTGCCTGGCGCTGAGGCAAAGTTAAAGTGCATGTCTGAAATTCTCCCGTTTGATGTGGTCGTAAACATAGATATGCATAGATTCCTCATTAGCGTCTGTTTCTATGGGCCGCTATACGTAAGCCGTCTGCCATATTTGAAGGGTCAGCTTGATGTCATTCACCATAACAGCCGATGGTCTGCGATCCCTCGAGGACAATGGCTGAGAGAGCTTGACGTGTTATTGTTTAGACCTAACTAACACCATATAACAAGATGAGCGTGTTAGCTAACACAACATTATCCCATATAGGTTATCCCGTTTCTTGGAGAATTTAAATCCCGGTGGTTTTTACAACCATTGGCTGTGCACAATTGTGGCATCTTCGAATATTCATTGATTATTATGGTGAATGAGGTCAAGTTGACCGTTAAAGATGGCGGACGCGTCTATAATCGCATGCATTAACACATTAATTTTGGCAGCACTACTGTGTATATACAGTGGGTACGGAAAGTATTCAGACCCCCCGGTGGTTTTTACAACCATTGGCTGTGCAGGATTGTGGCATCTTCGAATATTCATTGATTATTATGGTGAATGACCTCAAGTTGACCGTTAAAGATGGCGGACGCATCTACGTACTTGGTGCAGTCGAATGGGGCATCTACCTATACATATCTATGGGAGCTATGTCAGCCTCCCTGGTGAGGCAAGATGCTAAAGTTTCTCTCCTCTTTTCCCAGTTAATATTGGTATGTTTAACTGTGTTCATTTGGCTAGAGATAATTAAATTCTAAATGGAATGTGTTCTGAATCGATTATACGTATGTATTTTTGTGTATTGTGAGATTTATGTGAGTTTTATCTGACGTGGAGCTAATTAAGTGGTGGTTTGTGCACAGTGTGTAATGCGGAAAGAGGATAGCGTGGTGAATGTTACTGATCAAGTGTCCCATGTGTTCAGGGTATGTTCAGTAATTTAACTCAAAACAGTGTAAAGTGATTTGAATGATGATATCTGTGGATTGATTTTGAGTATATGTTCTGTTATTTTTTTCTCTTTCCCCTTGATCCGTAAAGCATTCTGTTGCTTTGCATTTGGATTATGCACTGATTTATTGTTTCTGTAGTGTCGTTATGAATGTTGTTTTGAGGGAATGTTGTTATGCTTATTTGTTTGAACATTAATTTTATACATCATTCATGTTAATAATACATGTGGGAAGAGCAATAATTGACCAGTAATTTTATTTCAACTTCTTTATTTCTTATGTGTTTTAATGTATTACACAATGTAAACATCAAATTGTTGAAATACATCAGCTTAGACAGCGATTGGGACGCTGGTGAGGCAAAGACACAAAAGTTTCTCTCCTAATCTCCCAGTTAATATTGTGTGTAACATGGAAAGAGGATAGCGTGGTGAATATTACTGATCAAGCATCCCATGCGTTCCAGGATCAATAAATAGAGGTGGTTTGAAGCTGTCCTGCTGTCTCCAGTGTGAAGTTCCTTCATGTGCACATGAATATTCTACTAAATTGCAAATTCACCCATACCGCCACATAGACATCTTAAGAAGTAAACTTTGTATTTCATACCACAGATCAGTCCCAACGGTATGAGCAGACAAATAGTTATTCACTCATAAACAATTTAAAGTACAGGCACATTTTCTGATATCAGACAAAATCTAAAAATGTATCAGGCATACCACTCACAGAACTGTCTCCAGCTTATAACATGGATCATTTTTGAGAGCACAGAGCTTCTTCACTCCTGAGTCTGCTAGATTTTCAGACAGATTCAGTTCTCTCAGGTGTGAAGGGTTTGATCTCAGAGCTGAAGCCAAAGCAGAACAACCTTCATCTGAGACACCACAATACCTAAACCTGCAGAAAACAATGACACACTCTTCACTCTCAGTTTAAGATCAGATATTCAACTAATCGTGAGTGCACCAATTGTATGGGTCCTTACCACAATATCTCCAGTTTACAGTGAGCATTCTCCAGTCCGGCACAGAGCTTCTTCACTCCTAAATCTCCTAGTTTATTCAAAGACAGATACAGTTCTTTCAGGTGTGAGGGGTTTAATCTCAGAACCGAAGCCAGAGCAGCACAACCTTCATCTGTGACACCGCAATCAATTAGCCTGCAGAAAACAATATCACATTCTTCACTCTCTCAGTTCAGTTCAGCAATCATTTTATGTCTGTTTATGATTTTTATTTTATTATTTTGTTTATTTTATTTAACTTAAATTAAATTTTTATGTAGGCAATTTGTGTGCAGTTTAATAAAAAATGCAGACACAGACTAGTAGGTAGAGACCTCGCTGAAGTATGAGGCAAGAAAAAAAAGGGAAAATAGTTTTAGACCAAAGGGTTGAAAAGTTATAAGCAGAAGAAAAAGTAAAATATGAGTAGTTTGTGGCGCTAGACCAGAGTTGATCAGAAGTCGGCTCAGTCAGTTTACAGTTTCATTTTTTTACCAGATGGTCCAATTGGTTGTCATAGATGCGGTAACAAGACATATAGCACACTATCATCTTTGACTTGCTATTTGGATAGTGTAGAATAAGTGGATAGCAAATAGAATTTGTAGACAAGTGGAATAGTTTTTGAAGTAGACCAGGTCTGTTAAAGAGAGATGGTCTCCCCCTAGTGTCGAACAGATGTGTGTCTGTGAGCCTGAGATGTGGGGCTTGTTTGGGACAATCCTGCCAAGTTTGGGGTCTCTACAATTTACTGTCTTTGGCGCCCATACACTTTTAAAACCAAGAACAAGCCAGAACAAATGCAACAGGGTTCCAGCACCTTCGGTGCTCAAGCCCCTAAAAATTTGGACAAATGCACAACGGTTTCAGTAATGACACAGTATTAAGAATCAAGTGTATACAAACTTTTGCCATTCACAAGAGTACTATGACGCATGCGTGTACATTCCTCTGATTGAAAACAAAGCACAGCGCATGCGTGTTCTACATCAGAACGCTGGCTTCTGCATCAGAAGCACCACACACGTGTCGTGGTACTTTTTTTGAATGGCGGCGGAGACTGACCGGAAGAGAAGAATTGTTGAATGAAGTCATTATTTTTGTTTTCTTTGCGCACAAAAAGTAATCTCGTAGTTTCATAAAATTAAGGAAAGGAAAGGAAAAGACGTGACGTGTGGCGTCCCAAGGCCAACTCTCTAACCATTAGTCCATGACTGCCCCAAATTAAGGTTGAACCACTGATGTCACATGGACTATTTTAACAATGTCCTTACTCTCATCATAAATATCTTAATTTTAGTTTTTCCCAAGATGGCGCCCCCCGTGGCAGACGTCTTTGTCCGCACCTCTCGAGAACGTTCCCCTTTTATTATAATTTTATTTATTATTTTAGTTTTTACTTCAGAAATCCATCGGACACAGAACATATGACAGAGAGACTTTATTGAAGATTGGAATGAGAACCCAAGAACTGTTTTTTAGTCTCCCAGATTTGGATTGCATAATACACCCAGCCTCAAGCGGAGCTATCCTAGCATCACCGATCGCGACTGGTAAGCCTAACCAACAGGAAGAGCGACGGAAGCGGAAGAGAGGCAAAAGAGGGGGGCTGCATGCTAGGCTAAAGGCTCGAGCAACCAGGCCACCCCTACCTAGCCTGTTACTTGTGAATATTCGGTCTCTTCTAAACAAAATGGATGAGATCCTCACCAGCGTTTCAGTTCAAACGGAGTACAGAGACTGTTGTGCCTTAATATTTACTGAAACGTGGCTAAATGAGGATATTCCGGACACTGCCATCTCTTTACAAACCCACTCCGTATGCCGGAGTGATCGGACAGTTGCCCCTGGTAAGAACAAAGGCGGTGGAGTCTGCATCTATGTAAACAACTCGTGGTGCTCGGATGTCAGTATTATGTACAAATACTGCTCACCCGATATAGAACTACTGTGCTGAAATGCCGACCTTTCTACCTACCAAGAGAATTTAGCGCTACTTTTATCACAGCTGTTTACATTCAAGCACAAGCGGATACACAGACGGCACTCAGTGTTATTCACGATACTATCAGCACACACAAGACCACAGACCCAGACGCTGTTTTTATTATTGCTGGGGACTTTAATCAGTGTAAACTGTGTTCAGTTCTACCAGAATTTCATCAACACGTCAACATTCCTACTAGAGAACAGAACACACTGGATCACGTATATACAAAGTTAAAGGGAGCTTACAAAGCGAAGTTCCGACCTCATTTTGAACGCTCAGAACACAAAACAATTTTTCTATATCCAACCTACAAACAGAAGCTGAAACAGTGTGCTCTTGAAAGGAAAACCATCAGAGTGTGGTCTGAGACAGCTGAACTAACACTGAAAGACTGCCTTGCATGTACTGACTGGGATGTATTCAGAACAGCAGCAATACAACAGGACTCCACAGTCAATATTGATGAATATGCATCAACTGTTACAGCGTATATCAGCACATGCATTGACAATATCATACCACAGAGGACCATTTGCACATATCCAAATCAGAAACCATGGGTTGCTGCACAAGTACGTTCCAGTCTACGTGCTCGCACTATGGCTTTTAAATCTGGGGGGTCTCAAGCTAGGGCTGGGTGATATAGCTAAAAAATGTATCAACGATATAATGTTTCATATAGTTCGGTATTGATAATTATTGACATTTTTTATAACCTTTTTTAAAACAAAGCGCAATAAAAAATTTTTTAAATTTAACCAAATTAATTTACCCAATTTGTTGAGACAAACAACATTTTTTTTTTTACAGTCAAACACAAAATAAAATGTAAACAAATATCTCCTTTCTTATGT